AAAATGGGGCCGTCCCATTGTAGTGACCCATGCCTGGGTCCTATGGGACGGCCCAGGTCCTAAACGCATATAAATATGCGTTTAGGACCTAAAGTTGGGCGTGCAGGCCTATTCGCTAACTGAAGGCCAACTCCCCTGCAGCAGATTGGCGTGCGGGCCCGCACGCCAATCTGCGCCAGGTGGGCGGATTGGCGTGCGCCATGGGGGTTGGCGTGCGGTTATCAACCCCCTTACCTTGGCAACCTGTCATGCGATGCGTACAGCCTCAAATACAGGATGACATCATGCGGCTTACAGAACACAGCCTGCAGGTTGCTAGGTTGCATAGCAACTGTTGCACATTTTGTCAATCCGATGGAAACTACTCAACTTCTCAAATCACATCATGTAGGCTGTACCACCAGCCAAAACCCCTCAGGCTCATGTATTCTTCCATCTTGGCCAAATTCCCTCATGTAAGGCTGTACAACCAGCCAAAAGCCCTCATTCCTGGCTCCCCTGGAGCCAAAATACCTCATTGTTGTCTATATAAGGAGGCCCTTCCTCCCAGTTGTAATTTCTCCCCAGCAGACTTCCTGCAGACATTTCCCCACATAACAGGCAAATCACTGCTCACTCCATAATATTATTTGTTCCCCAATATTTTGGTTTTACAATTATAACAACCCTTACACACAATTATTACAACATCTTTACACATAACAACAACCCAGTTTTGCACCTGTCCACCTGTTAAACAACAGAGTATCTTTTGATACACTCCACTATCACTAATTAAAAGCTGCCAATCTAAGATTGGTGGTCTTGTTTAGTGTAGTACACAGGAAAGGCAGAGGTTACCTCACACATCCCTTTCCGAACTCAGCAAAAGGTTCTCACGAACACTTTTGAGCTTAACAACGGTTCACTGGTACTTCACCTGCTAGACAAAGACATTGCGCTGAAAATCTAACGGTCAGGCCTATTTTTACAAAACAAACTATATCGAGGTGCACATTACGAACGATCAATCCCACAATGCTTCAATTGTTGTAAACTTGGACACACTTCTCAATGGTGTAAAAATTCTCCACTTTGTCACAAATGTCATGGCAATCACACATCTTCAGCTTGTGACCTATCAACACCTTCTTCCTCTACTTGCTGTGTCTGCATTTCTCATGACAAACTTGTATCAAAAAAAGCAGTTAACACATTAGATGAAAAATTCTCTCACTCCCCATGGTCTGATACTTGCCCACTAATGAAACAAGAAATCCAAAGCCGCAAGAGGAGGCGATGGAAACCATGATTTCTTTTTGTTGCAAATTTTAATTTCTTTCTCCCTCCTTTTCTTCTACCCGCTGGATTAATCACACTGTAGTCATCAAAACACTAGGCACTTATAAAATACAGATATTTTTTTTGCCCATTTTGGTATACGGGTTTTTTTGTACATACAGATGATATACACTATAGTGCGGTATGTGAAATTCATAGCACTTGCAGACGGTAAATAGAGTGAACCTGAAGCCGAAATGCCGCGGAAGCTGCGCGCGCATACCGACTGTGCTAGCACCACTCTGGTTGCAAGTTTGAACTACTTGCCTATGACAGCAGCCCAACACGAGAACACGGTTGGAACCGAAAAACATGGTCAAGAGGAAAGCTTGTGGGTCAGTTTTATGTTTCCAATTTTGGGAACAGGCTTGCTGATAGTCTTGTTCCGACAGATTTCCATTCCACTCGAGCCATTTATATCATTAGCGTACGCTTGAGGGAGTTCTGTCTAGAAGAGGCAACTGTGCACTAAAACTTGTCTTCTGCTTCTTTCTGACGTAGGTGTAGGACGATCGGCAAGCAAATTCGTGATTTTCGGTACCTCAAGAATAACCTGCTTGCATACTCGTCCACCGATCTCGAATTTACAAGCTCACAGCCCATTCAATCCTCACAATGCGTCAATCATGCTTCCATTCAAGTTATCGATGGCTAGGACATTTATCTCCTACAAAGACTATCGCCAGCTCACAGTCCCGAATGCGGATGTTGAAGCAAGCCGATCATGTTGTCTTTCAAATTCGCCCTTCGAATTTTGAAAACCTTCGCGATTCTACCCGAAAGTTTTCTTCGACAAGTCGGATGTTAGCTCAGTTGGGTCGAATCAATGTCAAGAAAATGCCAATCACAGACCATGATTCGAACTTCGCGCTTAATGAGGATATTCTACAAGAAACTCGGAATACGGATTCTGCGTCAAATCGAAAGCCTACCGTCTGGAAACCATTTGCCTTTTTCCTTGGAGTTTCAATGTTGGGGTTTGGATTAGCTGTCGATCAAACCAACCGAGATACCGCACAAAAGATCGACTACATTCGAACACACCAAGGAACCTTCCCTGGTTGGTTTAGCAAAACCTTCACTGGTATTGCCAGCTATCTTGACCCGAGTGACGCCCAACTACAACAACTAAGGAAGTTGGACAAATTGAATTTCATAAAAGAATACGGCTTAAATAACCTCTTTCCGCATCATCTTTTGACTTGGTATATCAATCTTGGTGAAGGAAAACAAATTTGTTGTATCTTGGCACTTATCAATCTGCAAATCTTTGCCCTTTGGCAAATGCCGCGTTTCTTCAAATACATGACACAAAGATTTACTCATTTCCCACTCTCGGGTAAAAGCTACACACTAATTACATCCACATTCAGTCATTCAGTTGAGTATCGTTTCAGATCAGTATTTTTTTCGCAACCAGCTCTGATAGACCCTAACAGCTTGCTTGATTTTTTCGCAGTCTGCCCTCCATTTTGGATTTAACATGCTAGCTTTATATAGCATAGGATCTACAGCGCATGACTTTCTAACCCATCGACTCCGAGCATCAAGGGACGTCGATCCAGTTCGAATCCCAGAATCAACCCCGACCTACCATTTTCTAGCTTTCTATGTTTTTGGTACGGAAGAAAAATCACATTGAAAGTAAATTACACATGGCTTACCATCGTTTACTCTCTTCTATTTACAGCCGGCCTTGCTGCTTCGTTCGGCAGTCATGCTTATTCACTGTTAATACGTGCTCCGAGGCTGTTGAAGTGGCGACAGGGACTCTCCAAGAGCTCAACTCCTCCCAGTCCGATCTTGCCCAGTTTAGGAGCATCCGGTGCCATTTATGGATGTCTCAGTGGGTCATCACACTTACAATTACAAGTCATTTGATTCGAAACAACACTTCCGCTGAAACTGCACCGAAATACATTCAGCGATGACCGCATTAGCGTTTCCTGAAGCCCACGTCTCGTTGATATTTCTACCTTGGGTTCCATTGAAGATTGGAAACGCTGTTTTTGGTGCAGTTGAGTCATTTTTTTCTCCATTGATCCGTTTTCACCAAGGAAAACTTACCTCAGTAAAACATACATGATTCCAATAATACTCATCAATTGTTTCTCTTACGTTGTACCTCTTCGGATTTCACAGATGCTTTTTGATTTCATCGGGGTAATTAGAAATTGGAGATATTTTGATCACATGGCTCATTTGTGCGGCGGTCTTGCTGGAGTGTTTTGGTATTTTTTTGTGGATAAGTGGTTTGATGTCATCAGATTGAGAGTATGGGATCGCTATCTTGTTAAAGAAAATAATAAATAGGTTATCCCCACGCTACCCCATTAACGGCCATTCTCGCCTTCGTAGTTTCATTGCTCAGCAAAATAATTCTTTTCGAGAAATAATTTTTTCTGCGGTTAATTCGTAGATGTGCAATTTACTTAATGTGTTATTGATGTCGTACACGTCACGTTGGAGACTGTTGACAGTCCCTCACTCCTCTCTTCATGCTCGCTAAGACGGCTTGGGAGACGGCTTCAAGCTGTACAGCCAGAGCGTATATTTGTCAGATGGAGATAGATGTATCAAGTCCGGAATTCCGTTTGGTTTGTTTTGAGCACAAGAGCTTCAGAGGTTCTCCTAGTATATGACTAACAGTGCTAAAGGTCGATCCTAGTATATGACTAACAGGATTAAAGGTCGAAACGAGCCCTCGTAACTTGATTTCAGATCCAATTTCATCTGGCAACTATACCTTCCCACTCGTGGTGCCCGGAACCAGTTCCGTTTGAAAACTGTGATCTGATCCTCACTTTCACCTCTGCGAGTCTTCCAGATGCCACGTCGCGCTCTTGTACCGATACCATCGGATGATGTACGGACAAGCACCTCAAGCTCCCAAGCTTCAACCGAGACGGATATTTCGAAGTGTTTACTTCCATGGATTGATTTGAAAGATGGCGAAAATCCCCTGCCATACCAGCCGGTTGACTCGTGAGCCAAGCCCTCAAGCATCTTTTTCATCTACAATAAATCCTCCTTGACTTCCCTGGGTTCTTGTTTCCATCTCCCGTCGGTAGTGTACTTCTTACTAGATCCAGTCACGTAGCCTACCTTTACCCGCAGCTTTTCGGACAACCAATGAAGTCTACTTGGCTAGACTCTTATCGCAGTTTGGTGTTCCAGTGGTTGGCCAACAATACTACTTTTTTTGAGCTGATGTTTATCATCCTGCTGAAACTTCATAGTTGCATTTCTGTGATAATAAAGGGTTTGTGGGGCGCTGTCTATTCTAGGGGTGAAAATCAAGCCGAATGAGCAATCGAAGGCAATACAAACGGTTATGTCTTTTCAACATCCGCAAGGAGGATTTGGGGGAGGACCTGGTCAAATCGCACATCTTACCAGTACATTCGCCTGTATCGCGGCTCTTGCCATTTTGCTTGATGGTGCAGATCAAAGCTTTATCAATGAAACGTGCGCCCGGATCGATAGGAAAAAAATGTACGAATGGATGCTAAGTCTCAAGACGCCTAATGGTAGTTTCGCAATGCATCAGGATGGTGATATTGATGTTCGGTGAGAGTTTCAAATAATTTGACCACGGAAAAGAATAAATGGCGATCAAGCGAGAGTGAAGAGCCCGTCGAAGCAGAGTCATGGCTTGGAATGCCCTCATGACACTTTCACTGACGATGGGCATCAACTGCTTTGTTTAGGGGCTGCGCTACTGCCTTGAGTGTGGCAACAGTTCTCAACCTACTTACACCGGAACTGGTCAAAAACCTCCCAGAATACCTTGTGAGGTGATTTTTGTAAATTTTGTGATCATGTGCTGCAGCTCTGGAGCTGAACGAGGTCAACGGCATGGATTAATTTTTCCTTTGAAGTTGCCAAACCTACGAAGGTGGGATCTGTGCCGATTCTTTCTTTAATAGTATGGCAAAACCTGAAGGCACCCAACCTGAATATCCCAACGCAGCCCCCACAGGCGAGGCTCATGGTGGCTACAGCATGTGTGCTCTGACCTGTGACTTTCTCCTTCAAGGATTACCCAGTCTCTCAGGTAGTCCTAGGTTGGACTATGATTCGTGCCTGCGCTGGGCAGCACACATGCAAGGCCTTCCCATCGAAGGGGGCGGCTTCCGAGGACGCACCAATAAGCTGGTTGATGGTTGCTATGGGTGGTGGTGTGGAAGTGCACTTACGCTTCTCCAAGCCCTCATGTCCACCGACCTTTCTACAGGTTTGTCTCCAAAAAGCTTTTGTAATCCTGTGCCAAATCGTTCTCATTTTTTATGATAAATTTCAGACGAGCAGGGATGCTCTGATCTATTGGATCGGCAAGCATTACAAGAGTACATCCTTCTTATATCGCAAGACCTTACGCCAAATGCCAAGAAAGGGGGGCTGCGTGATAAACCATGCACTCCGCCAGATTTATACCACACCTACTACATTCTAGGTGCTCTCTCGATAATGCAACACACCCAAAAACATTCTTTCCAAAGAATTCAGGAACTCAAACAAAACTTCAAGAGGCCCCATTATTCAAAATGTATTATTGGGGATTCAGAAAGCGAAAGCGACGCATTTCAAAGAATGAAAGAGATATACTCTAGAGTGTTAGGATGGGAAGTCCAAAAAGGTAAGGAATTGGTGGTTGGCCTGGTGTCAAATGAAGTTGTGAGTCACCTTTATCCATTTCTCTCATACCTCATAGGCTTTGATCATAAAATCCTGACTAAGGATTACATCCCTACTCCTGCGGAGATAGGAACCTGTGCATCCAATTTTCAACATTAAACAAGAGGCTATTAAAAATTTGATGGATTATTTCTATGATCAAAATTAGGCAAATTAGAAATAACTAGTAGGGAAAGATGAAATGTGTCTTTCATTCCTTGATCCTTCCCTCAAGCCGCAAGACATTTGAATTGTATAGAGGTATGACTGGCCAAAAGATTCAAGTCTTTTGGTTTTTATCTTCTGTGTTTTGCTTCAAATATGAGATATCTTCTTTCTTTTGACACGTGTCTCAGAAGAAAATCTTCTCTTTGTTGTCTTTCAGATGTCTTTTTTTTGTTCTCTCAACAATTTGTGAGTATCACTTGAGAAAACATCCCTTTCAATCATTTTATTCATGGTTATATCCTTGTTACTGCATAAACTCCAATGTATTAATCTCTAGTACAAATTTGATTTCCTCTTACTCTTGCCCAATTTTTGACTTTTTTGTATATAGTCTATTTAACCTGAACTGTTGAAAGGAATATGGTGCCCCTCATTCTTTTACTGTTTTGAGCTTCCCACAGTTTACTTTTTTGTTAGAAGACTTTCTCATGAAAGCCTCCCTGTCAAAGTTCAAGCCTCAACTTACACATCATGTCTCAATTCCAACAGAAGCATAAAGAATCTGCTGTCTGGGGAGAGGCTTAGTCAAGATGGAGTAAATCTCAATTGGCAAGGTAACAAGAAAATAATGTAAAAATTATCTTCATTCTACGTGTTTTGTCTCATCTGAAAAATTCATTCCAAAAGCATAAATCCATTTTCATGGGCTCCAATAATTTTGAACAGAATATAACAAGTAAGTTTAAGCTTCCTTACCCAAAAATTCATAAACCTTAAGTTTTCAAAAGAGGAGCTGGTAAATGATGTACTGCAAGGTATGTTCAGCTGTTGCAAGTTTTTGAGTCTCAAATTTCATCTTAACATCCTTTGTGTACCAGCACCTTCCAGAATAGGGCATGATGGTTGCTTAAGACATCCTGCTATCTTCACTGGTTCTTGATTTTATTTTTATCTAGCTTGAACAGGCCTGTATAGTTGGGTAATTTATTCACAGCAACAAAGTGTGACCAAACAGGTGAGGTGGTCGATGGTTAATCAGTCGGACGGCCATGAGGTGATGTATTGATCGAGTTCTTCTTCAGTTTCTGTTTTCGAATTGAATGCTTATAATGATGAATTCAAACTGGAGCCATTCATATCCTTACCAGAGGATTCCCCTGCTTGAATAGATCTCCTTTGTTTACCAACTGGATATGGCGAGAAGACTAGTTAAACTTTCAATGGTCACAAGATTAGTCGAGAAGCTCTATATGGGCCGGTATATCCTTTTTGTGAGGAAGCCCTTTGACGATGATAACCAGTCCTAGTTGATTCTTTCAATAGCCCATCCCACTCAACAAGCTACGCACATGCATGCTACTGAACATAGGCTTCGCTTGAGCCCGACTCTCAACTTGCCTCCACTCGTCGGTCAGCCAGCTTCTGTCTTCCTAGCATCCAAGCTCAACATCCAGTGGTTCAAAACACGGTATAACTAATTGTCGATTTACTATTACAGTACTGCAGACGGTATCGGATTTCTCAAGCAGTTGCCGATTGACTTGGTCTGTGATATGCCAGCTACATCTCTGTATTTCATGACCTTTTAATCAAGTTGACCTTCTTCTCCACTGGCAGACCTCTCTCCCCAATGCCCCGTCACCCTCTGGCGCCGACGCCCTTCGATGATCTCCGCACGGACACCACAAGCTCCCAAGTTTCGACCGAGATCGACATCTCCACAATTCTGCTCTCATGGCTCGATTCGAAGGATGATGGAAATCCCTCAGGTTCCCAATCTGTTGACTCGTAAGTCGATCCCACATATCCTGCGATCCTGAATCCTCAACTGACCTTGGCATTAATTCTTATACTTTTCTGCCCAGTGTCCTCCTGACTAGGTCCAGCCATATCTCCTTCCTCTACCCGTCCTTTTCTAAGCTTCCGATCCGGAATACGGCATTAGATTCTAGTCGTGGCTGGATAATTTATTGGTGTGCCATCACTGCTGTCTTCCTTAAAAGATAATATTATCTGTTATGTCTGCATGTTACTCAAGTGTTTGGGGGTGTTTTACAGGATCGTCGGAGCTTTCTCGGTGTTAGAGGCCAGACTAAAACAGGTTGAACGACTGAAGGCAATCGAAACAATCATGTCATGTCAACATCCACAGGGAGGCTTCGGGGGCGGACCAGGTCAACTGGCTCACCTTGCTTCCACATACGCCTCCATCGCCGCCCTTGCCATCTTACTCGACGGCGCAGACCAAAATATTGTTGACAAAACCTGCTCCCAAATCGATCGACAGAAAATGCTCCAATGGATGCTCAGCCTCAAGATGCCTGATGGCAGTTTTAGAATGCATCACGGCGGTGAGATTGATGTTCGGTAAGAGCTTCAACCAATTTTTATCGCCCAAAAAGTGGAAGGTTAAAATTCACTGAAAGTCAACAACGCGCCAAACAAACAAACAAAAAAAACGGCGAGATTGCATTGATACCTTTACTGACGATACATATAAATTTTTCCCTTTAGGAGTTGCTTCGGCGCCTTGACTGTGGCAACACTTCTCAATCTACTCACACCTGAACTTGTCCAAGACCTTCCCGAATATATTGTCAGGTGAATTGATATGCTTAGGTTTCAATTCCGCTGAACGAAGTTTAACGAACCTTGTGTAAAAATATACAGTTGTCAAACGTACGAAGGCGGGCTATGCGCCACTTCTCTCTCGAATGGTTGTGTGCGACCTCAAGGCAACCAACTCGACTTTCCGAGCGCGGCTCCGGTAGGAGAAGCTCATGGTGGTTACAACTCCTGCGCTCTGGCATGTGATTTTCTCCTTCAAGGATTGCCCAGTCTCTCAGGTAGCCCCAGGTTGGACTACGATTCGTGTCTGCGTTGGGCGGCACAGATGCAAGGGCTTCCCATCGAAGGAGGTGGCTTCCGAGGTCGCACTAACAAACTCGTCGACGGCTGTTATAGCTGGTGGTGCGCCGGTGCATTCCCGCTTCTTCAAGCCCTCATGTCCGAAGACTTCTCTGGTTTGTCCCTCTCAATCGCTCATTCCATTACATGATTCTCATTTGCATGATGTTTTTGTTTTCTGTAGACCAACATGAGTCGTTTGATCTATTTGATCGACAAGCCTTACAAGAGTATATTCTTTTGATATCGCAAGACCTATCTCCCAAAGCCAAACAAGGTGGTCTGCGTGATAAACCGAGCGCGGTTCCGGACATGTACCATACTCACTACATTCTAGCCGGCCTCTCCCTCGCGCAACATTCTCAGAAACATTCCCTTCAGCGAATAGAAGAACTCAAACAAGCCTTCAAGAAACCGGATTTTTCGACCTGTATCCTTGGGAATTCCGAAACTGAAAGTGATGCGCTTGAAAGAATGAAAATTATTTACTCGAGGGCATTAGCATGGGAAGTACAAAAGGATAAGGACTTGGTAGTTGGTATGGTCTCAAATGAAGTTGTCAGTCTTGTCTTTTGGTTATCAGTACTCCTCATTCTACTGAAGATTAATTTCTTGTTTTTCTTTTTCTTCATTTTTTATGGGCAAATTAGTTGCCAGTACATCCCGTATTGAATATCAAGCATTTGGCTGTTGAGAAAATGATGAACCACTTTTACCATCAAAGGTAGATGGAGAAGGTTAGAAAAGTGTTCTGATTTGATTGTATTTTTTGGGCTACCTTTCCTTTTTTTTTTCTCTTTGTTCCAAGTTAGAGTAGGTTACTTTTTGCTTTACTTCATGTTAGAAAAAGGGGACATTTGATGAAATGTTGGCTGTGATATGTTCAGGTTGGAATAGGCTCTTTTAGTTTTTTGATTTCCTCCAGCCCTTTGTCTTGTCCAATTCAGCTACCTCTGCATACAATGGAGGAGGGAATATGGTTATATTGTTGAGTAGTCCATTAAATGAAGTTGAGGTCAAGTGTGGGTTGCTACATGATGAGTGAACTTGATTTGATGACATTGTTTCTTTCTCTCTGATCAGAACTTCTGATGATAATTGAGATTCTTGAAACAATTGGATCACAAGCTGTTTGATGCAAGCAATAGTGGAAGCTGAATGCCCTTCCAAAAATAAATCAATAGATGTAGAGATGGCACCAAGTACTTGCTACTTCTTGGCAACTACTTGCTACTTCTTGGCAAGTACTTGTTGCCTTCCAACAAGTACTTGCCTACAGGTGTGGGTGCAGGTGCAGGTGTCTGAGATCTGAAAATTTTCATGCAAGTACTTGTACTTGTTGGAGGGGTGCACCTGTGCACTTTGACTTCAGATGGCACTTGATGTGCTTAGTTGTGCAGGTGTATTTTTTATCTAAATTATTAATATTATGTTGGTTGATTTTTTACCAACTTTCCCACACATTCCAAAGCAACCACTGTTGATGTGGAGCAATCCTTTAGCTTTGGTAGAGAATATTCTTCTCTCAGGATGCACAAGCTAGTCAGTGCACAGTCTGTCACTAGGGGGATGAGTCACAAGTGTGGCATTTGACTCAAAAAATGGTAAGATCAAGAGGGGGCTTTTGAGAAAATGGAAGGCAAATAAGAAGAATGAGAAGAAAGCAGCAAGGGAGAAATCTGGAAGAAAATGAAGGGCAAGCGTTAAGATTTATTATTACTGTTTACACTCACTTAGTTTACAAATCTCTGAAATGAAAATACAAGAAAATTTATCACCTTCATATCTCAAAATAAGTTTGCACACTTGCAATGCCCCTGCAAGTACGGGTGTGGGTGTGGGTGGTTGAGATCTGAGAAGTTTCATACAAGTACTTGTACTTGTTGCAAGTGCGCAAGTATGAGGGGACATCTCTAAACAGATGAAATAAAGGGGCTTGGAAAAACAACTCCTAAAAATTAGTCGACAACTCCTATTACCAACTGTGGATGTCCAACAGGAGTTGTTTTTCTGATTTGAGGGCGGAAAAAGGGAGTCGCTGCTCAAATTTCCCAATAAACTTATATTATCTTTTTATTAAAAATAGGGGCTTGGTTAATCGACTCCCAAAAGTTGGAGAGCCAACTCCCAAACCCCCGAATCCCCCAATATTTGGGAGTTGATCCCCCAAACCTGTTAGCAGGTTTGGGAGCTGGATCAACCAAAAATTCAAATAAAAGAAATTAAATCCCTGGAGGGGGAGAGAGTTGATGCCCCAAAACCCACTGGGTTTGGGGGGTCGGCAAACCAAAAACAGCCCCCAGCGGCCGGGTGGGAATCCTCCTGGCCATTGAGAGCACACTCTTGACGCTGACTCAACGGACAAGAGTGCATACCTTTTGGCTGTTGAGAGTGTACACCCTCAATGGCCAAGAGAAAAACTCTCGGCCATTGAGAGTGTAAACTCTCAACAACCGAGAGAAAGCCCTTGGCCATTGAGAATGTACACTCTCAATGACCAAGAGGCTTTCTCTCGAGTGTTAAGAGTGTACACTCTCAATGACCAAGAGGATTTCTCTCAGCCGTTGAGAATGTACACTCTCAACAACCAAGAGGCTTTCTCTTGGTTGTTGAGGGTGCACACCTCAATGACCGAGAGGGTTTCACCCTTGGATGTTGAGTTGTGCACTCTCAACGGCCGAGAGAACACTCTTGGTTGTTGAGTGCGCACACCTTGCCAGCCAAGAGTGTACCTCTCAGGTACACTCTCCGGCCGTGTACCTCTCAGCGGCCAAGAGTGTACACGCTCAATGACCAAGAGGCTTTCTCTTGGCCATTGAGAGTGTACACTCTTGATGGCCAAGAGGTATGCCCTCTTGTCCCTTGAGTCCTCAAGCTTGGTGTCAAGAGTGCTCTCAATGGCCGAGAGGATATCCTCCCCGCCATTGGGGGATGTTTTTGGTTTGCCAACCCCCCAAACCCAGTGGGTTTTGGGGCATCAACTCTCTCCCCCTCCAGGGATTTCTTTTTTTTTTTTAAAAATTTTTTGTTGATCCAACTCCCAAACCTGCTGACAGGTTTGGGGGATCAACTCCCAAATATCGGGGGATTTGGGGGTTTGGGAGTTGGCTCTCCAACTTTTGGGAGTCAATATTAACCAAGCCCCTAAAAATATGGGAGTTGTCTGTCTAAAAAGTCCCTGAACTTTGGGAGCTTTGGGAGTTGCCATCATCTACTGCCCACAAAAAGATGAAAAAAGTACAGCCTTTGATATCAAGGCCCAATGGCACCATATCAATGAGAAAAATGATATCATTCATTGAAAAAAAAATCAGAAAGAAAGAAAGAAAGAGGAAAAAAAAGGATAAGAGCAGGAAAACAAAAAAGCCTCCATTCAAAAAAAAAAAAAAAAAAAAAAAAAAACAGAATAGAATAGAATAGAAGAAAAAAGAGAGGCAATACTTCTTCATTGAAAAAATCCAGAAATTGAAAAAAAGAAAACCCCGAAAGAAAGAAAGAGGAAAAAACAAGAGATAAAGGCAGGGAATCATAAAAGGGACAATAAAAGGAAAAAAGGGCTCACAGAGGATGATGGATAAAAAAGCCTTCATTCAAAATAAAAAATAAAGGATTGAATAAAAAAACAGAATGAAAGAAACAAAAGGCAGAATAAAAACATTAAGTAAACCTAGTATTGACTCTTTTGTTTCCTTTACTCTGTCTTTTTTTTATTCAATCAGTTCTTTTGTTATTTTGAATGAAGGTTTTTTTATTTACTATCCACTTTGAACCCTGTTTTTCCTTTTATCATCCTTTTTAGGGTTTCCTGACTTTATGCCTTGTTTTTCCTCGTTTTTTCTTTCTGTATATTTTTCAATGAATGTAATCATTTTTTTTCATTGATAGGGTGCCTTTGGGGCTCGATATCAAAGGTTGTACTTTTTTCATCTTTGTGTGGGCAGCAGATGTCAACAACTCCCAAAGCTTCCAAAGTTAAGGGTCTTTTTAGACGGACAACTCCCACATTTCTAATAAAAAAATAATAAAAATTCATTGGTAAATTGGAGTGATGACTCCCTTTTTCCACCATCAAATTAGAAAAATGACTCCTGTTGGATGTCCACAGGCAGGAATGGGAGTCATCGACTAATTTTTAGGAGTTGTTTTTCCAAGCTCCAAAAGAAAATATGGTGATATAAATTATAATGTAGTTCAACATTCTGATTACAAGATAAGGTTGACAACTGTGGACTCATGATTTATATAAAGGTGGCCTTATAATGAAGACTAAAATGTGTCAACCCCCACATTGTTCCAGGTTCTAGAAGCCACAGTGAGGGGTTTTACAAGCCAAATTTATGCTATTTTCCAACTAGAAAGTTGATGTTTCAATTGAATTGGATTTTTTATCTTAATGAATAAAATCAATACATGTACAGTGGGTAGACAGTGAAACCTCAAAGGCCAAGAGGATTCCTCTTGGCCATTGAGGTGTACACTCTTGTAGCTGAGGGGTAAACTCCCAGCTGTTGAGAGTGTACCTAAGCGGCCGGGAGGAATCTTCACGGCCGCTGTGGTGGGGGTATTTTGGTTCATTGAACCCCAAACCCTGTTTGGTTTGCGAGGATTAACTCCCAAACTGACTGGGGGGTTTTTTTTTTTATAATATTTTTTTAGGGAGTTGATTCCCAAACCAGTCAATAAAGTACATGTTGTCTTCTTCTTGAGGAGCATGTTCTCACATAGTGTAAGCCGTTTTAAGAACCTCATCAGGATTGATGAAAAGAGTTGTGGTGTTGTATTCTGGAATTATTTCAGTACTTGCAGCCAAATGTCTTTGGTGCTGGCTGTTGTAAGGCTGACTGGGGGGACTGATCTGAAGCTGAAACAAAGTCAAGTTGGACTGTTTGACGGCATTAAACAATACTTTGAAGCTGGCCCTAGAGAACTCATTCAATTGAGTTGGCTTGGACCATGTCTTACTTGTCAAGGTGGCCAGTGCAGCTATGACAAGCAAGCTGCTTGGCCTCTCCTTTTATCAGACCATCAATGTCATAAGTCAGGCCTTTGTGGATGGCCAGAGCCTCCATAATTACTGTCATGCCCCTAACAGAAGTTTTCATGCATGCACACAATATATTCTGGTACATGTGTTGAGACAGAAAGGGGAGACTGATGACTAAAGTTCACTGATGGATTGTCTGTGACACTGCAGGAGCAAGAAAGAAAGGTGTGGTTCTGATTCACTGGAGAAGAAGCATCTAGAATAATCTGTACTAGAACTATATACAGGATTATTCCTACTAAATTGATTGAAGCATATACTTCAACAGGATGTACAAAATCAGGGTAGCTTAAACTTGAGAAGGACAAATGATTATTGAATGTCTTAAACAGATAGAAAAGAAAGAAAAAAAAATACAAACTTGTAAGATGAATATTGTTCCTATGATTGAAGGAAGACAATCAATCAATTGTGTCATTAGCAATATTTGGTCAAAGAAGAATAAAGAAATATACTTTTTCACTAATTATTGTCCTGATGACAGTAGGAATCAAGCAATCACTACTGCAAATTGAGTATTAAGACTCACTTGATGATCTTCAAGTGCTCAATGCTGATCAAATATTTATATCTGGTGATTGAGGTATGAGGTATGTAGATAAGGGAGAGGGATAGTTATCAATGGCTGAAAAGAAGCAAAGGAGGTGAAGTAAAGAGGATAAGGGTAAACTTGTGAAGAGAGGTGGATGTGTTGACAAGATGAGGTGGATGTGTTGAGGGTGATGATTCCTCTGATGAACGGGCTTTGTGGAATCTTGTAGCAACAGTGCAACAGAGACAATACAAGACGGTATCAGGTGTTTATTTGTTTCATCTCAGAATTTGAATACCCAAAAATACTGGATTTGTGTCAGCGGTGGGCCGCTACGCTACGCTACGCTTTTGGCCCAAAAAGCGTAGCGTAGCGGCGCTTTTTTTTCATCCAAAAACCGTAGTGTTAGCGGGTTTTTAGCGGTTTTTCGCTACGCTACTCTACGCTGCGCTACAGCACTTTTAGCGGAAAAAGCGGCCAAAAACCGCTAAAAACGGCTTTAGCGCAGCGTAGTGGGCCCTTTTTTGCGGCCCACACGCGTAGCGTTAGCGGTGTTGTGGCGGAATTCCGCTACGCTACGCTAATTGCTAACAGTGATTCCGCTGCGTTACGCTACACTAACCACTACGGTTAGTGTAGCGGCCCACCGTTGTTTGTGTTGTCTCACTTTCCTGAGACAATACACACATATTCTCTTTGGAAAGTGAGACAAGCATTCTGTATTGTCTCAGATGACTGATCCCACCAAAAATGTATTTGATACACAAGATATTTGGCTGTATTGGAGAAAAAAACACGAAGATGATTTTTTTTTCATTTGTAAATCCAAATCCAGGACAATAGGCCGGTTCACGTCTGAAGTTCAAGTCAACTTTTAGCACCTTTATGGATAAAATTTTATGAATTTTGTCAAATCTCATGAATCATCAGGTTTGGAGGAATTTGAAATTTTTGATAAACTTGGAAAATTTTAATGATAAATGCTATAAAACTTGCTCCAAAGTTCAGACGTGAACCGTCCTAATGGATTTTCTCACCAACCAAGAAAATACTGATACCGGTATCAGGCTCAAAATAAAGACAGTACAATCTGATACAAATACATGTCTCATATCTGTTGCACTGTTGCTTGTAGAATCCATGAAAGCCCCCCTGCCATTGTTGGGCGGGTTCTTTGGCCTGTCATACATTATAGACATCCTACTTCTGTGCTGGTGTTTGCTGGTGTCAACTCATCTCAATGTTGAATTGCCCTTGTGCTTGCTGGCTGTTGTTTGCTTGGCAAAGTTTGTTGGCAAGCCAACCCAGGCAAGTTAACATAACTGGCCAAGCTTGAGTGCCTTATAATCCCTGTCCTCCCTGCAATAATCTGCAAGATTTTCAGAAATCAGTGTATATGGGGTACAGTTGTGGACGGCAAAAACTGACCCTGGATTTTGGGGATGTCCGAATAGTTGAGCCAAAATTTTCAGATTTTTTTTGAAATTTTCAGCCTTTTGAGCTGTTTGCAGCCTCCAGAGCGTAGAAAAAATACACTAGAATAGCAAATTAACAGTGAAAGTAGATTTTGAGGGTGTACAAGTAGTATAAAACCATGATTATGTATCACTTAAAGCCATAACTATGGGTTTAGGTATGGCTAATCTATGCTTGTCCGATTATATGGTATGTGGAAATGAAAAAAAAATCAAACCACTCACTCCAAACCCTAGTGTTTACAATTTTGAACTCTACACATCTGTAGGAGTTCAAAATTGTAATAAAATTAAGTGTCAGGGCACATCCCCCCCGGGCATAGGCCCCGCGTGTCCAATTTGGATTTTGCGGGCGGGCATGGTCGGTCTATGCTGTACGCAACTGTAGCCAAACGGAGCCTAAGTTTTTGCAATGAAAAAAAATATAGAAAAATCTGGATTTGTACAGCTGTTGTGGAAAAGCTTGCGCTTTTCCACACTTTTTTTTTTTTTTTCACCCCAATTTTTTTTTCCCCCGGCCCGACAGCGCAGGTCACCCCCGATCAAGCCAGTGTCTTCCATCGAATTCGGTTGGGTTCCATTACACACCGCTCACCTATCTCTACTGCAACTCTGGAATCCGACAAACCGTTACCACCATGGACCTTCCAGGTATCGTTTTTTCAATATTATTGACTTCTTATGGTTTATTTTGGTTCATTGGCTGATTGTAGAATGTTTTAATCAATATAGACTTTTCCGATCAGCTGGAGAAAAGTGCGACATCCGAACAATTTGTGGACTGGTTGAACGAGGCTTTTGGTTTCGAGCCCAAAACTACAGACAATCCACCCTCGGCCAACCCCTCAACCCCTACGAAAGGTCTTGCAGTAACTACAGTCAGCCCTCCGTCAAACCAAGTCAATCACCAATCAAGACGTTTGGAAGAGTCCAACTCGGCAAGACGTAAGGACCATGTAGGCAGCGAACAAATTAAAGTATCAATCGAGTATCGATTCTACGTACTGGACACGAGACCAAAGCCGACTCCCAATACCCGTGTATCAAACAAACGAAAGGCACCACCCATTGAACCCGAGGATAAATACATCAAAATTACGTCAGACATTGGTAAAGTCCATATCTATTGGGAATCTTCCAACACCTGCCTCAGCGATTTCAAATCAGCTGTAATCAACACGATTGCGGAAAAGGAAGGAAAGCGTCTGGGGGGACATGTACGATCGCAAGAGGAAGAAGGTGATATCTTGTGGTATGCAATAATACCACATGGTCACATGTTTATTGAGAAGAATAAGACAACCTTGGAGGATGATGATATCTTTGAGGAATTTCTGGCTCAAGCGAAGGGGACTCGGGACGGTCGAAAGAACACAGTGAACTTGTTGCAACGGGACCCAAAAGTTGTTGCTCAGGTATCTACTTTAACCTTCCTTGCATTAGAAACTGGCCCCCTTGCATTAGAAACTGACCCAGATGTAATAAATTGCTTTCTGTTATAGAAAAAGCAGGCATTGGAAAATTTAGAGAAACAGGATGGTGGGAATGAGGAAAGGACTGAATTGAACGATCACGAGCCAACAGCTGGGGCGTCAAACTCACGAGAGATAATGAACAACATCTGGATGCTACGAGCAACTCACATGCCTTGTGAACGATTGACTGGTTCAAGCGAGCTTCCCGTTATGATCTGCCCATCGGATTCTAATCGGTTCATTGCTCTCACAACGGATCGTCTTGGCCTTTGGGCCCGAAGCATGGTGAGCTTGTCTGTTCTTCTATAGATCTGAGTTTGGAAAACTGATATGAAGGGTGAGTTCAGATAAACAACAAAGAAGTGTACGTTGCACAAACCACCGATATCTCCGCCATTCAAATTCAGA